CAACATGTAAAACAACGGTGTACATCACATCACCCTCTGTGTTAAGCAAAAGCTTAAAGGTGGTGAATTTCTTGTGTATTTATATTTCTTTATATTCACAAAGGGATTAAATGCTGATTTTTGTAAGTGATAAAATTATAACACAGAACAAAAATAAAATTTAAAACAGAAAATACTAAGCAAATGGAGAGATGAGTAGAAGAACAAGGCAAAGCAAAGGGTAAACGTAGTTCATTAAAGATAAGTCAAGGGTGATGGAGGATCACGAGTTAGAAGGCAGGAATACAGTAACTCCCCTAAAAAATAATGAAAAATGGGTGGAAGAGGATGGAGAAGAAGGAAGAATGACAGAACAGATGGGGGCCCCACCAATATTTTCTTTACTTTCCTAACAATATTTTTTCTTAAAATCTGAGCTAGTAACATGAGAGGAAAATGGTACAAAACCACTCATAGTTAAACTGGAATAATGCTTCCACTCAAGAGGCATAAAGGCCAGTGAACACAGGTTGTTAGGAATCCTTTATTGCAAGAAGAAAGCAGAAATATGATTGCCAGAACTCAAAATCAAAGAAAAAGCAGAGAAAGCAAAAGTGTGTTTGTCAATAAAACTAAATGAATATAAACAGTTGAAACACAACAGCAGTCACGAGGACTTTAATTTGCATTAACAGGATCATCAACCACAAAGCACTTCCAAAAGCTGTTGGCTGTTAGCTTCTTTTGTCTTTCAGATTCATTATCAATTTTATATGTATTTGTCTTTGCTTCTACATTGAGTTCCTTGCATATTTTGGATACAAATTCTTGTCAAACATGTGGTTTTCAAATATTTCCTTCTATTCTGTAGATCACCTTCTCATTTTTAACTTGAACTATGCAGAAACTTTAGCCTGGTGCAGACTTGCCTGCTAATTTTTGCTTTTACTGTCTGTGCTTTTAATATCAAACTCAAAAATTCATGGCTGAGATCAATTTAAGGAGTGTAAGCAGAGGCTACTTGTTCATTTCCCAGCCACCAAGACCCAAATAATCACACAGAAATTATATTAATTATAATATTGTTTGGCCAATACCTTAAGTATATTTCTAACTAGCTTTTACATCTTAAATTAACCCATATCTATTATTCTGTGTATTACCACAAGGCTCGTTGTTTCTGGCAAGGTTCAAGGGTGTGTCTGTCTCCTTTGGCAGCTACATGATGTCTCTTTGACTCTGCCTATTCTCTCTCTCTCTCTCTCTCTCTCTCTCTCTCTCTCTCTCTCTCTCCCCTATGGTAGTCATGGACACCACCAAGTCTGATGTAAATTGTTATAGCTGCCCTAGCAAACTTGCACACATCATATGCCTAGAGTTTATATCAAAGGTAGGTACATGTGTGTGTGTGTGTGTGTGTGTGTGTGTGTGTGTGTGGTCTTAGAGAATACCTGTAACATTGTATGCTTGCAATAATTACTAACTGTTGTTATCCTATAACTGGAGGTTTCTCTTTCACCCGCTAGTCCCTGCAGCTACTTATGGAATAATCATTTGGAGGCTTAAAATTAATTACAATTCGTTGGCCTATTACCTCAGGCTTATTGTTAATTAGCTCTTGTAATTTAAATTAACCCATTTCTATTATTTTATATTTTACCACAAGGCTTGTGACTTGTTACATTTCATCTTGCTTCTCCGGCAGCTGCTGGCATCTCCCTGACTCCATCTTCTTTCTCCCTGTATTCGGTTAGGCTTTCCCGCCTAGTGTTATTCTTCCCCGTTATAGGGCAAAGCAGCTTCTTTATTAACCAAAGGTAATAAGGCATATTCACGGCATACAGAAGGGCATCCCACATCCTCCTCTTCCTCTGTTGTACTATGTGCCAGGCTCTGTAGCCTAAAGTACTTCACCAAAAGGTATCAACGTCTGACTCTATGAAGTCTGCATCATAGTAAAAGGATGCAGACAACAAAGGAGTAGGCAAATCTTGTATTATGCTATCCCACCATAAGTTCTTTAAAGATAAATAATGCAGTGGCTGTGGATCAGGAGAGATGAGTTGAGTCAAGGAGCTTTAAATAAGTAGTCCCAGTAGGCAGCATTGAGGGAAGTGCACACATTGCTGGAGAAAGCATTTCTGTTTGTACTAATCTGTTTTCTGCTACTATAACAAAACTCCAGAGACTGGGTGCTTCACAATTAAAACAGACTTGCTTAGTCCACAGTTTCAGAAGCTGAATACACCAGATCACAGGAGTCAACAGATTCACCCTCTGGAGAAGACACACATGATGACTCTGTTGTACATGGTATAAGAGAGAAAAGGGGGATGGCTGTGTACAAATGATACCAGCACGCTGATGGCCTTGCTACACAACACTCACAGGAAAACAAACAAGGGTCCCATGAGAACTGCACTAATCCTTTCTTGAAAGCAATGTCATAACTGATCTAATTACCTGCTAATAGTGTCCACCACCTAAAGGTTCCGATGCTCTTCCACATAGTCATCCAGAGGATCATGTTCCCACATGTGAACCTCTGATAGACAAACCACAGCCTAGCAACAACACAGTCAGGCTATCAGCAAGCCTGAGGGTCTTGAGGTTGAAACCTGCCTAGAATATTCAAAGAATACCAAGAAACAAGCATGGTTGGAGCAGAGAAAACAACTTGGAAGAAAGTAGAAGGTCAGAAGAAGAAAAAAGAGGTCAGAAGGATGTCAGGGATATAGATTGTGTGGGCCTGTGGAAGCTTTAACTTTTGCCCTCAGTGATTGGAACTTGAGCACAGGTCTAACATCTTACAGGCCACAATGTAGATTTCATCGGTGTGTGACTTAGACAGAAGGGACAGAATCAAGAACTGCATATAGACACCTATTCTTGAAACCCAGCAATGTGACCAGACTGGCTCTTAGAAGCTGTTTTATAAAAGAGTCAGGGTATCAATACTAGAGATATAACATGCCATCCTGACAAATCAAATATGATGTCTGAAAAGGAAAGGGAAATATGTGTCAAACACAACTTGGGTACAAACCTACTACTAATTGTGTCTCCTAGATCAAGTCCAGAAATCTTAGTCCCTTGATGTATCAGTATTGGGAAGTGAGGTCAGAGTCCTCATGGATGCTTAATGTCTTTCTTGTAGAAATGGTTTAGCCAGCATGACTATTATTCAAGACTCACATGTGACCATTTGTCCATGTTTCATGAGTTGAAGTGGCACAAACCCCATTAAGAAGCCAAGCAGATCTTGTCACCATGGTTTTGAACTTTCGAGGCTCCAAAATCATGAGATAAAGTAAGACCTTCTACTTTATTCATTAGTCAAAATAGCCTCAAGTATTATTACCGTGAGGAAAGGTAGACACACACATTCATGAAATAGATTGAGAATACTTTTGGTATAATGATTTAGGAAACAAAGGAACATATTCATCTGTGTCCTTATTTTTCTACAGAAGTAGCTTCATCAATGTCTCCCTTTACATGTAGGCTTGCCTTTCCAGGTTTTCTCTCCTTTTCTACTGGGTAATAAAAGGTGTATGCTATTTCCACTGCTGGATCAAAACATTACTTATAGCTGATTCTTCTAAATGAGGTCCACGCCTTGGAGAAGTACTACATGCTTAGCTTGTCTCTCGAGCACAGTACGTTTCTTGCCATTCATTCCCATTGTTGTGCCATCTTCCTGACTCCTCCTAAAAGCACCTTCCTCTCCCTTTTAGAAATTGTGGTGGTTTGAATGGGAATGTCCCCACAGATGCAACTATTTGAACACTAGTTTCCCAGTTAGTAGAACTACTTGAGAAGGATTAGCAGGTTGGAGGAAGTGTGTAACTGGAGTGGGTTTTGAAGTTTCAAAAGCCCATGCCATTCACAGTTCTCTCTCTCTCTCTCTCTCTCTCTCTCTCTCTCTCTCTCTCTCTCTCTCTCTCTTTCTCCCTGCCCCCTGCCTCCAACTTTCAGATGTGAGCTCTCAGCCACTACTCCAGCACCAGGCCACCTGCCATGCTTCCCACCATGATGGTCATGGACCCTAATCTTCTGAACCTATTGCCTTTCCCATGTTCTCTTCACAGCAAGAGAAACTAAGACAGAAATATGACCTAGCTTTGCTTTTACTCACTTTGTTTTTCCTTCTGTTTACCCCAATTTTCATTGATCTTTTTATCCAGTCTTCCTCCTCCATACTGTTTTTTTCTCATTTGCACTAAGCCTTCTCTACCCCTCCACACCATGGCAATCACCTTACCTGTGTTCCTGACTTACCTGTCTCCTCTGGCCCTCAGTTACAACACTTTTCATTTTAATATGGTGTTTCAGTTCTGCTTTCTCCTCTATAAAATAAAGGAACTGCATTTTATTGTCTATAAATGGGAATTTTGATTTTAACTTTCCACCTTGCCTCTGTTGCACAGTGTGTAGTGAGAGCAGTGGGCTGTGTTCCCGCCAGGCTCGCGCACAGCTAAATAACAACACACAAATTGTATTCTTTTAAACACTGCCTGGCCCATTATATCTAGCCTCTTCTTGGCTAATTCTCACATCTTGCTTTAACCCATATTTAGTAATCTGTGTAACACCACGAGGTGGTGGCTTACCAGGAAAGATCTTAACCTGCGTCTATCTCGGAGAGGAAAGCTATGGCGTCTGCCTCACTGCCCTTCTTCCCAGCATTCTGTTCTGTCTACTCCACCCACCTATGTTCTGACCTATCAGGCCAGGCAGTTTCTTTATTAATTGACCAATGAAAGCAGCAGATAGACAGATGACCCTCTTCCATCAACACTGTACAGAGAGTTCTAATTCCCATTTAGTTCACTTGTGAGTCTCTTCTTTCATTATTTCCATTTCATTCCAAACTCTTAACTATATTTTTTCTTCACATTTTTTTAAAGAAAAGCCAAGTAAACAAAGAGAATACATATATATGTATGTGTATGTATGTATATGTGTGTTTATATATATATATATATATATATATATATGCATGGTGTGTGTGTATTAATTTTGTTTCTTCTTACCAATTTTGGCTCACAAAAATAAAAAGACATATTTGGAGTCTAAACAATAGTAACAGTATTTTGGTACCTTGGTGTTCCTTAACCAAGCATGAGATTTTCTAAGGATATCCTGTGAGAATTCTTTGAGTGAGGTTTTCATTGGTGTGGAGGTTTAGTTCAGTGTTAAGGGTACTTTAGCATTTGTGAAGCCCGGAGTTCCATCCCAGCACTCCACACATACCCACACCCAAGGAGGAGTTTAATGAGAGTCACCAGAGACACTCTTCTGTGGTCTCCCCCAAACATTCTTGAGTCTTACCTTCACCTCTTTGTGGTGCTTCCATCTTGGATGTCTGCCAGGCACCCTTTCTCATAGGCTAATGAGAAAGGACAACAAAGAAAAAGCGACTGTGCTGAGCTGAGTGCCCTTTTTACAAATAAAAAAGTGTGTTCTTTCAGATTTCAGAATAAGTTGACAGCATTAAACAATTCTGTGGCACAAAGGTCTTTTTTATGCTTTTATTTAGCAAAACTCCCAGGTGATTTTTGAGCTACAGTAGACAATCCACTCACTGAGGGCAAATGGGGTCATTCTAAAATGTTCGTCAATAGTTCTCAACAATTTTATCAGAGCCATAGAGAAAAAGCCACCTGAAAAAGGACATTTACAGTGGCACTTGTATAGCTGGGTTTCTCAAGACATGAAGTCATACACACACACACACACACACACACACACACATACACACACACACTATTATATTAATTTAAATATTTCATTAAAAATGAAATTGTACATAATACATATGACATAAGAAATTGGTTCTTAGTCAAAAGAGCTACATCTAACTATATTTTGTAGAAGAGACTGAACATCACTCGCTGCTGGTTTAAAGACTCAACTTTGTAATTATAGGAGAAAAATTTCTTGTAGAGTGCTCTGTCCAAAGCAAATGCCACCTCCTGGGGGTCTTGCTGTCATGTTGAAACATCTCTCTCTCCTATGCTACCTCCTCTGGGTGCCATCATGCAGAGACATGGCTCCCTATTCTGAGCACAACGGGAACCCGGGTTGTGGCCTTCTTGTCCCCTCTGCCTCCCAAATCACCACCTCACTACCTATGAGCACATGCTTATAAAATGCCTCACAAATCATCATCTCTGCTATCTATGAACACATGCTTATGAAATGAAGGAAACACATCTCGACAGTGTGCGATCTGAGAGATTAACTTAGCTTTGCACCTCATCTGTGGCCTCCATCAATGACAAAGGCAATGGACACATTCCTTCACCCCTCTGGGCCTCACTTCCCCCATCTGAACAGAGACAATGACCCTTCCCAGAGTGAACTGTCATGGCAGTAGAGATAGGAAAGCAACCAAAACACAGCGGCACTCAACTAGAGGTAAGGCCCTTCTGTGTCCTAAAATGTCAGTTGTACTTGGGGACTGTCTTCCAGAGGACAAAAGACAGATCTGTTTCTAGATTGTATATACTGGGAGACAAAGTTTTGCTGATATTTACACTTCTGATAAAACGTAAGGGAATACACCACAGGTTTGGGAGGAACAGCAATGAGTGTTATACTGAATTGAGTATTGAACCAGTGTCAGCCCCTAGCTGTACAACACTGATCTGTGGACATGGTCTCCTCAGGCTCCTTCCACTCACAAACTATGGTTCATATAAATTGGCCTTGAGATCACACACCATAGCTTAAAGGAGGCTAAGGGGAATAAAATGGTTTTTCTAAATTCTCTGGCAGGTGATCAGAACACTGCCCCTTTTCTCACTGTAGAAACAACCACAGGGGTAGCAACTTTACCCTGAGAGAGATGAAGCTACATCCATGACAGTCTGCTGAAAAACTAATCACAGTAAAAAGAACACTGAATCAAATAAGTTGAATTACAAACTTCATCTCGTTCCTATTCACCATGAGACTGGAGCAAGCCAGTTATGCTCAATAAACCTACACTGGAAAATGGTGGTGCTGTGTATGGGAGACTATACACAGTTCTTGGGAGACTGAGGCAGAATGTTTACCATGAGTTAAAGACTGACCTTTGTGTGTTAGGCTACAATGAGTACTACAAACTCTGCCTTGAGGGGGAAAATAGCAATTAAAAGACAAGAGAAAGGGGGGCTGGAGAGATGGCTCAGAGATTAAGAGCCATTGCTGTTGCAGGAATCTGGGTTCAGTTCCCAACACCCACAACCATTTGAGACTCCAGTTCCAGGGGATCCAAAGCCTGGTACATCTGCATACTTATATACAAAAAAATATATCTATAAAATAAAAAATATATACTTAAAGAAAAAAAAAAAAACAGTGGGCTAACTACTCCTGTTGGGAAGACAGAAAATAAGGAGGATGGTGTCTCGGAGATGTTAACAACTCTGAAATGGGATGAAGAAAATTACAGAAAACTACTGTTTTATGCCCATGGAGAGCTCTTTCTGTATCATACTAAGGTTTATATATTTACCCCTTCCACCAGCAAATGACTACAATTTCAGTTGAGTAAAAAAAAAAAAAAAAAAAAACTGCATGTGTTTGTGCATATGTGCACATGCCATGTGTGTGTGTGTGTGTGTGCTTCACTCACAGTTGTGATAAAATCCACATAACCCCTCTCTTGTCTTATGCATGCCAAAACATCACAGATCCATAACAACCTGTGTAGGGCCTGTAACCAAAGACCCTGGCCTGTTGCAGCAGCAACTGTGGGCATACATTGTACTGCCCAGATGACACCTTTGAAATATTTTATAACGAAACTGCATGCCACATGAGAAAGATTCAAAAAGCCCTACCACACTGCAACAGAAGCTATCTCCAGGTGACCTGAGGTTTCAGTCCCCTCGGTTCTGATATGGTCTTTGTCTATAGGTCTTCCACTAACCATACAACTGGCAGGTTGGTCACCTATACGCTGCATATAGAAGAGTGCACCTTCCCAAACTTCTGGAAAAAGTCTTCCTGTGCCCGGGCCAAGGCGTCTTCATCAATGTAGACCGCAGGCCTCTTGGCCATGATGAAGTACTGCACCTTCCGCAGACTCCAGCCAATCACGTAGTGGAGCCAGCCGCACACTGCAGCTGTAGAGCGGCCCACCCCAGCATTGCAGTGGACATACACAGTGTGTCCATTCTCCAGAAGGGCATGCAGGAGGCACACAGCCTGTGGCAGCATCTGCACTCGGCCTAGAGAAAGCACAGACCATGTGTTAACAAATACTACCATATCACAGCTCAAAATTCCACCAGTGCATGACAGAACCCTGAGCTCGGGGGAGACAGGTGTGACAGTTTGCTTCTTTTATTGTTTTAGTTGAGAAAAAAAAAGTGAAACAAATTTAATACCTGGGAATACCAAAGAAGAGAGACCATCCCAGAGGCAGCATTCAGTTCTGAACTTGAACTTGAACCTGACTCTTCCAGGGATGTTACTGTTTTTTGAGCAGTTTGCCATTGATCCAAATTTCTCTACAAAGTTAAATACCACATGTGTTCGAGGGGCACAGGGCAGAAGAAAGGATTTTAACATCTTCTTAGAAGCAGTTGCAAAGATTTGTCAGTGGTTTTAGAAGGCTTCAAGGAAAACTTGGTAAGTCCTGTGCCCCTCAATCTCACTCCTAAGTGTCCTTCCTGGCAAACAGTAAGCTCATAATTAGCTCACACTGGTTAACGATTCAATCATACTCACTGGTTAGATAAATGCAGTTTGAGACAGAATTTAGTATGTTGCTTTTCATTCAAGTAATTGAGTGGCTAACCTACAGCCAATGCTTATGGGATAACCAATCATTCATGCCACCACAATACAGTAAATACTGACATAGATTTGATTTCTTTCTGTTACTGGAAAGCTATGATCGTAGTTGTTACTGTTCTCTGGCTGCTATTCTGATGATCAAATGTCTCCTCATCCTAAGAAGTATGCGGTGTCCTGCTGAACCCCAAGAGCTTCTGCATCCTGGTGGGCAGAAGCGTAACCACCAACAAGCCTTTGAGTTCTGAGATAATCATTCTTCTTAGTGATACTTAGTAAGATTTTTTTTTTGTTTATCTGTCTAGTACTTTTGTGGACATCATCAATACAAATTACCTCAGAAGGAAATGAAAGAGGACGACCACGCAGAATTATTGGATGTTAACTGTACACTTGCAACTTGGCATTCTTTAGTTTCTCTGCATATCATAGAGAAGGACACGACGGCCCCAGGAGGACCTCCCCAGACTACAGAGAACACCTATCTAGTGTCCATATTGTGGTTCCTGTTGGATGACTTGAGAGATGAGCAGCCCCTCCCTGACCTGCAGATCTTCACTGAAGCCTGGAATCCTCCCCTGGAGCTTTCACTCCTCCAGTGTCCTCTTTAGAAGTGCTAGTGCCCTGACATCACCAATACAGTACCTTGGAATCAGGAGCCAGCACCTTCAGAGGTGGAGTTTTCATAGACGCTCACCATAGCCTCAAGGTCCCCTCAGTCACCTACCTCACTTTAGGCCCATCAGGCTCTGAGACAGAAGCAACCTGCAGCACAGCCATGCCAATACTCCAGTCTTCCTGGCTGTCTTCTGTCAAACCCTCTAAGTAAGAGATGTAACACTGCAGGCACCACCCAGCAGTTTTGAAATGTGTTCACGGAAATGTGTATAAGTGGGCACACAGAGCAACCTCTCTGACAGACTCCCTCTCCGCCTCTCCCCCTCCTTCCTTCCCTCTCTCTCCCACTCTTCCCTGATAGCAGTCCCTAAAAGCATCCACATTAGCGCACACCAGCTCCCACGATGTCCAGCAGAGGCACAAATGTTGATTTAACTCAATCCACACTCCTGGTTTCATCTGAGTAACCTGCCATACCATTACACAGGGGGGCCTCCTGCAGGCACTCCATATCTAGAGCATCACAGGGGCCAGTGGGTTCCTCCTGTCAATCTCAGTAACAGGACTGTGTGCTGGATTCATTTGTCTCAAGGGATTAGATATGGTAAACATCCAGGGTATGTTGGGGGTGACTATGCTATGAGGGTATGATCTGCTCCATCACAGTAATGTCTGTAAGCCGTTTCTAGCATGAAAAGAATCCCCCTGATAATTCTAGGAATCATGGCTTCTTTCTGCTCCGCCACCATGAGTCTCCCCAGACAAGCTCCTAATGGTTGCCATGGCAGGGATTAAACAGGAATGTCTTAAATATACTTTTGAAATCAAATGTCAAATCTACACAAAGACTAGAGTGGCTGTTTACCAAGGGAACTGTGAGGCTCCAAATCTCTGCTGACCAATCCTACCGGACTGTGTCTTCCACAGAACCAGTCCAGATGGACTCTGTAGACAGATGTCCCCCAAGGGCAGCTCAGCCCCAATAGCCTAGGTGATGTAACACAATTACCCTTTTCTTTCTGTCTGGAGAAAGGTCATTCAAGAAGCAAGAACACTTTACTGCCACTATGGAAATCAGTGTGGTGGTTCCTCAGAAAGCTGGGAATAGATCTAACCTAGGATCCAGCTACACCATGCTTGGACATATACTCAAAGTTCTCTACCTCTTACTAGATCCGTAACTGTACAATGTGCAGAGAATGACCGATCTTGGCGCATTCAGTCCAAAACAGGATGTCTCCATCAAATCCCCACTTTCAGGACTAAAGGGGTTCTGTGGGGAAAGAGGTAGGAAGATTATAAGGGTCAGTAAGAGTGGGGAACACCAAAGAAACAATGTCTTTTGGGCACAACAGAACTCTGACACACACGTGAACTCACAGAGACTGTGGCATAGGGCCTCCACAAGTCTAACCCAGACACGGTCGCAAGGATGACAGGAAGCATGGACAACATGTCCCAACCCTAACTCAGAAGCAACCTCCAATTGATAACGGCTTCATTTTCGCCAGTGGAGTCTACTGGGAAAACAAAGCACACAAGGACAGACCTCATGTTCAGTAGTAAATGGGGAGGGAGCCCTAACAAACTAACTCAGTGGCATGGCATTCTGGGAGGGTGTGTGATAACGTGATAATGCTTCATCTGGAATTTTTATTTTTAACCTTACACATCTTTCGCTTAAGTATTACAGTTTCTGGTTTTGTCTTTTTTGGGTTCTCTGTGTGTGTCTGTGTGTTTCTAGCAGGTTCTTTTTTCCCCTTGGCTGTTTTATTTCTATTTGTTTATTTTTGTCCTATTCTGGTTTGGCTTTATTTCATTTTTTTAGCTTCCTGTTTGTTTTCTAATGAGAGAAAGAAAGGTTGTAGGTTCAGGTGGATGGGTGGGGAGGAGAGGAAGATTTAGAAAGAGGTGGGGGGGAGCCCATAATGAAATATATTGTATGGAAGAAAAGTCTATTTTCAATAAATAAAAAAGTGAGTTCACAGCTAAAGAGTTAGGGATGGAGTCTTGTACATCTGAGGATATATTATAGCAGGTGCTGTCTGCCACCCTCAGTATTTACATGAAGGAGCCAAGGCAGAGATTTGTCCCAATGAAATCCTTAAGTGGCCACTCAAATGCAGCCAGGCTGACTGCAAAGCCTCTAGCCTTGATCCCTGCACTGTTTTCCTTCCTAATCCACCTGGTTGCTGGCACTTTCCACCTCTCATCTCAGTCTGGGTTCTCAAAATCCCTTCATGTTTCTGTGACCCTGTCTGATTCCACTGTCTTCCCGGCTCTCAGATGTCTGCATCCATAGGTCCCAATACAGAGCACAGGAATCATGAAGAAATGAAAAGAGGGTCCTCCCTGTACAAGAGAGACAGCATCAACCAGAGTACACAAAGTTACATTTCATCTACGTGTGTGTGTGTGTGTGTGTGTGTGTGTGTGTGTGTGCGCACGTGTACACACAGGAGCATGTTTCACATGGAACTTGATTTGATAAAACTTTCCAGACTTAAAATAGTAAGGCAAAAAAAATAACCAGATTCCTTTTCTGAAGGTTTACTTGTCATCTTGTGTGCATGAGTATTTGCTTCCAGGTCTATTCATATACTCTATATATGCCTGTACCAGTGGAAGCCAGAAGAGGGTATCAGATCCCCTGAAACTGGAGTTACAGACTGTTGTGGGCTACTATGTGGGTACTGGGGACCAAGCTTGATTCCTCTGCAGGAGCAACAAGTGCTTTTACCCACTAAGCAATCTCCCCAGGTTCCAGATTTTCTTTTGGTATGGAAAATATTCCAGATTTTAAATGTTGCTAACTAAACTGCAAAAATTACAAACCTTATGTAGGTCAACCAAAACACTCCACCATCTGTGTTTCTCCCCTTCGAATTTAAAACAAGCATTGGGTGTAAGTAGATGCTTGCTCAACAATCATTAAATACCTCCACTAAAAACTGAACAAGAAACAATGAAGCAATACCGCTTGTTTATTCTGAGACACTGTTAGACTCTTCTACCTTCTCTGTTCTGTGTTCCAAACCTGCTACAGGCTAATCTAAGTACAGGATGACTAAATACTTCCAGAAAGGGAAGTAAGTGCTGAACAAGCCAGGGTTATAAAAAGCAAAGAGGTTTTTAGTACCTGGCACTTTAGGACCCAAAATAAAGGCACTCAAGAGCTCCTAATGGGATGCTTTGCTTTGTCTAAGAAAGACCAAGAAAGAAATCCACACTATATATGCACCTCTTTCCTTTCTTACCCTTGGGAAAATATATAACTGTACACATTGTTGTTTTACTTGGACGGTCTTGTTTTCCTCCTTTGAGCTATAGTATAAATGAGGGTCTATCTTACCTGTAACATTCTTTGGTAGAAAGTTAAAGAACTTCCACCCCTAACTAAGAACTCTGGATCCCTGATGGCTTCTAGGCAAAGAGAGTCAGTTTTCTTCACAAGTGTGTCTCCTAGAGGTTGACCATGCTGCAGAGGATGCCCCCACACCATATGGTCAGCACTAAGTAGGCTCCATGAGTTATTTACAAAACAAACAAAAAGAAAACACAGCGTGGGAATGGTATAAAAAGGCAAAGGTGTTGGGAGTGGATCTGGGAGGAATTACAGGGAAGAATCAGGGTAAGTCTAATCAAAATATAATTTATTAAATTCTCAGAGAATTAATAAAGTTTTAAAAACCTTGTGACTGATCCTACAGTCTACTATAATCTAGTTAGCAGAAACTCCCACCTCCCACTGCCCAGTGCTGGAATTAACCTGCCTACCTCCCAAGCTACTCAGTGCCTACAAATCTCCAGGTTTCCCAGTTTCTGGTTCCATGGTCAGTGTCTTTGTGTAAAGACAGAGGTGAACTCAGTCTGCTGAATGAGAGAGTGCCTGAGGGTCTGGGAACAAAGCAACAGCCAGATTCTTAGAGCTCACTGGGGAGGGAGGAGGCTGGTACTGGAACAGAGGTGAACCCTGAGTTTGGCTTCCCCTGAGAAGGGAGTTTAGTGAGCAAACATGGTTTATTTCATCCAGGGAACTACTGGAATTTGGAGATTTTTCATTTCCTAGGTGAAAGAGACAAACCACATTTTACAAAAGAAAATGAAAAGAAGAATATGTCTAAACCATATATGGCAAAATGTACAATGCGGACAATCAATAGGACAATTGATTGTAGCAGGGCTGTGACAATTGAGTCTAACACACCATCCTTTGCAGACTTGACCTGACAGCATTTTTGCAGCAGCTGGGAAGGCTTCCAGACAGATCCCACCCCCCACCCCCGGAGTTCCAAAACTATCCAGGTGGATAAATCTATATATGCATTGGTCTATACTGTAAGCTACATAGATTAGTCTGTTGGTCAACAGTCACCCTGCCACTCTGGAAGAGTTAACTCTTTGATCACTTCTCCAGGTCCACCCGATCCAAAGGAATCCTTTCTCCAGCGTCAGTTTGTCCAGCTGCAGGTGGGGGGGGGAGGGTGCTTCTTTGCTCTCATCCTCCAGCTGTGCTAGCTCTACATGGGAGCTGGCTTTAGATGCACTAACCTGGTGACCCAGTGACACCCCCAAATGTGTGAACAAGACTACAATGGGCCCTAGTGAACAGATAGACTCCAAACTTCTAAACAGACTGCCTATTTGTCAGCAGATATTTGTTTAGCAGAACATGGGATGCAGCAGGTAGAATTAATAGCTCAACTGCTCCCTGCCTGTTTCCCTCTTATTTACACCGGTGGGCAACAATGCTGTGAAATTTGAAGCACAGAAGCCGAATCAAAGTCTCTGTGTGGCCACAAGCGTCCTAACAAGTCTGAGACTGTTTTTAAAACCGGCGAGACCATCTGCGCAGCACAAAACCATCCCGTTTTCAGTTGATGCGAATTCTGTTTGGTTTGGGGTCTAGCCTCAAGAAAAGGCAGGTGACCAAGGGAAACAGCCAGAGTGTCAATCTCTCGCCCCCTTCAAGGAACATAAAATATACCTCTCTTTATATAGTTCAAATCTACAGAGTGGTCCTGTCTGGCCAGGAAAATCACCTGAGGTCTTTGAAGTGCCAAAGGTGGCCAGTGACACTGGTTTCCTATGTCCTCGAGGTGTTCTGATTCACAGGCCACTGGTGATTGGAGAGAGAAGCTATGCCCCCTCAGTTCACAGCTGCGGATAACTCTAGCTAACCATGAACGCAAAGAACGGAAATTACGTCGGTGTGCAGACTCTGCCTGAGGTATATGAAGAAACACATAGTTGCTGCCACGCAGCCTGGCTTGGGCAGTGCTGTGAATCAGACTGCCCCCCTCAAAGTCTGTGCCGTGACTCTTTGCAGTCTGAAGACCTGGTCCCACCACACAACCTTTTCGTACCTGTCTCTTCCTTTGCAGAATGGAGGTGACTACAATGTCTACCTAGAACCTTCTGAGGACTTGGTGAGTTCAGACATGTCAATCAGGAGTGGGTTGGATGCGCAGCATACCTTGTACAGGGAACGCTGAGGGGAGGAATGTTTTCTGGGTTCTTGGCTAGGCTTCACTGCCATTCTTCACCCAGAAGAGAGAATCAGGCAACTCCCGAACCCATGTACTCTCTACAGCTCTCTGCTGCCCCCTGCTGACATACTGTTAATACTGTAGTTGGGATGTGGTCCTCTTACCTGAAAACAGTTACCCTACTTCTCAGCAACTGTCTACCATACCTATAGAGGGCTCTTTCTAGAACTCCTAGCGTCCTGTGCTTTTGTCTACCTTATTGCACACACATCATGCTCCCTCTGCCCGCATCTCTCTGCCCAAGCGAGGTCCACTTCAAATGCCATGGAATTCACGCAGCCTGCCTCTCTGCCCTCCGTAGGCGGAATCCGTCAGCCCAGAGCACATCACATCATTCATCGTCCACTCCCTCCTGCACTGTAACTGGTTTTAACTTGCCTTACTGCATCTTACTTATGCCACGACTATGACTTATTTGTCTCTGCTTCCCCAGCAGCACCAACCATGGTAGCCCATTCAGAAAGACTATTCTAGAACTCTCCCAGTCCGTGCAGACTCGACCGTCCTCCCCACGGGCCCCATCTCACTGCACCCTCCTCCCTGGATTCTCAGACCAGTTCCAAGCTGTCCAGGCGGCAATGGAAGCAGACTTGTGGTGAAAACACTAAGACAGAACGAACCTCGGTATTTCCCAGCTTCTCATCCTTTCCTGCCGCAGCTCCACCCTACAGTGTGACATTCTTATTGTAGCCCAGGTCTGGGGGGACTTCCACATCCTCAGTCCTCCAGCCACAATGGTCCTTCCTTCAGTCCCTATAACACGCCACCTCCTCTACCGGCATAAGGGTTCTTCTAAATGGTTCCTTCTTCCGTCCTCTCCCAGCTTGCCCTTGCTGCAGCCACTGCTCAGGCGTTAGCTCAAACACCACTTCCTCAAAAGCATTTCTAGATTATCTACCCAAGCTCTGCAGAATAGCTGTGATTTTTCAAAACTAACCCATTATGCTTCCAAATTCCTACTTTTGTTCATTCCATTAACACTTGCCATCCTTTGGGAACTACACACTCCATGTTCCCAGGCACAGCATAATGCCACACACACAGTAGATCACAGTAAATACATAGTAAGTATATAAATTATATGTATATATTATGAAATATATATTTAGTGTACATAGTATAAAAGTTAAAGAAGCTGTGTTAAACGGAATCCTGTCAAAGTATCTAAAGACATATTAAATCTTAATTTGATTTTTATAATTAATATTTAAGATATTCAGTTATGATGAATGAAAGACAGACAATATGTATATCTCTGAAACAAGTCTATAAAAGAACAAGATGCTTATTCTAACCCTTACCCTCTATGCCCATGTCTGGTGTGGGCATGCAGATGTTAGGCCAAGCCTTCTTCCTTGTCTGACCCTTACCCTCAGTGCTCATGTCTGGTGTGGGCATCCAGATGTTAGGCCAAGCCTTCTTCCTTGTCTGACCCTTACCCTCAGTGCTCATGTCTGGTGTGGGCATCCAGATGTTAGGCCAAGCCTTCTTCCTTGTCTGACCCTTACCCTCAGTGCTCATGTCTGGTGTGGGCATCCAGATGTTAGGCCAAGCCTTCTTCCTTGTCTGACCCTTACCCTCAGTGCTCATGTCTGGTGTGGGCATCCAGATGTTAGGCCAAGCCTTCTTCCATGTCTGACACTTACCCTCAGTGCTCATGTCTTGTGTGGGCATCCAGATGTTAGGCCAAGCCTTCTTCCATGTCTGACACTTACCCTCAGTGCTCATGTCTGGCGTGGGCATCCAGATGTAGGCCAAGCCTTCTTCCTTGTACAGCTTCATCATAGTGTCTGGAGTCATGGGTTCAGGGTAGCGGTTACAGCCTGACGAATTTTGGATGATATCCCATTCGGTCTGGAAATTCATGACAGCTGTAATCCCCAATTCATGCTTCAGTTTGATGGTCACATGTTCCAGTTGGCGAGGGCAGCTACCCAGCCAGATATTTGGTAGAATTCTGGAGAGAACAAATGGGGACAACAATGAATACTACTCTAACATGAGTTCTCAGTATCTGCATAAAACATACAGTTAATCTTTTGCTCTGATGAGGAAATGCTGGATTTTTAAAAAAAAAAATAAGAAACGATACTATTTTTCAAAACTATCCGCATTACAGTTTTAGGAAAACACATCAGGCAATCAACAAGCACCCCAGGAGATGGACCTTAGAAACTAAATCTAGCAACATTGAAATTAAGTCCTCAGGTTGTCTTACTGTATGAATGCTGCACAAAACCCATCAGTTCATTTCAAACACTAACAAATTAAATGTGAAACACATACCATCACCTAGAATTAAAAAAATACACATAACTAAAATACAGCCATCACTCTTGTTTAGCACTACGTAAACTTTTTCAAACAGCCTAAGATTTGTGAAACAGGCCAAACTCAGAAACAGTGAGCTTGGATTAAATAAAATCAAAACCAAAATAGTCCATTAGCCCCCAAACACTTCTCTACAGGTTTTTAAAAGGTGATGTGGTAGTTTGAATGTAGTTAGCCCCCATAGCCCCTAAGGAGTGACACTATTAGGTAGTGTGGCTTTGTTGAAGTAGGTAGGGCCTTGTTAGAGGAAGTATGTCATGGGGGGGATATGCATTGAGATCTCATAAGCTCAAGCTATGTCCATTTTAGCTCACAGTCTTCTGTTGCCTGTGGATCAGGATGTAAAACTCTCAGCTCCTTCTCCAGCACCATGCTTGCCTGCACGCCACCATGTCCTGCCACGATGATGACGGACTAAACCTCTAAAACTGTAAACCACACTAATTAAATGTTTCCCTTTCTAAGCGTTGTCATAGTCATGGTGTCTCTTTACAGCAACAAAACCTTAAGTAAGACAGAAGTTGGTACCGGGACTGGGGTATTGCTGTGATAGGCCTACATGTTTTTGTTTGGAGGAATTTGGACTTTGGTACTTTGGCTTAAGAAAGCAGTGGAATGTTTTAGCACTGCTTATGGTAGTAGGAGCATGGCTATCTGAAATGGGGGGCTGACACAAGAGTTTTCAGAGGGGAAGAATTTTAGTGGGTTGCCTAGAGATCATTCTTGTGCCATTTTGGTGAAAAGTGTGGCTGCTTTTTGCCCTAGTGCAAACAGTCTGCCTGAGACTACGGTGAAGAAATTTGGATGAATTCCCTCAGCAGAGGAAATCTCAAAATATTCTAGTATAGACTCTGTCCTGTGGTTATTAACGTTCTCTGTAATGAAGATATATAATGAAAAAACAGCCAAGATGAGCAAGGAAAAATACAAAATGTGCAATTTGAGCGAAAAGGGAGCACCAGGAAGTGGAATAGAACTAAGTCCTGTGTTCGGGAGGTAAAAGATTAAGAAACAGGATAAAGAAGTGATGACCTCAGGGTGAGGTCCCGCCCAGCTAAGTTTCCAACTTGTGAAAAGGAATTATGTAGTTGATTTTTACATTTTACTCTATGCTCTTTGTTCTTTGTTCTTTTGGGGCCCACCACCCAGCTCCCAAATAAATCACACATACAGGCTTATTATTACTTACAAATGCCTGGCTTTAGCTTGGTTTATTTCTAGCCAGCTTTCGGTAACTTAAATTATCCCATCTACCTTTTGCCTCTGGGCGTTTTCATATATATATATATGATATATATATATATATATCTTACTTTCACTCTTACTCTATGATTGGCTGTGTGGCTGGTCCATAGCATCCTCCTCTCCTTGTTCCCTTGCTCCTCTATCTCTCCTCCCAGGTTTGTCCTATTTATTCTCTCTGCCTGCCAGCCCAATCTACCCTTTCTCCTGCCTTGTTATTGGCCATTCAGCTCTTTAGTAGAGCAGTCGGATGTTTTAGACAGGCAAAGTAACACAGCTTCAGAGAGTTAAACAATTGCAGCATAAAGGAATGCAACACATTTTTGCATCATTAAACAAATATTCAACAGCATAGACAAATGTAACACATTTTAAAATAATATTCTATAACAGAATTAAAGAAAAGCTTAGCACTGGGGATGGTAGTGCATGCCTTTAATCCCAATTAGTTGTTTTCCTTTGTAAGAGTTGTGTGGTCATGGTGTCTCTTTACAACAGAACACTAAAACAGATGACCTAAAGGAAGAGGGCAGCATCAGTTTTCCTTAAAAGTGCCAACTATTAAGAGAAAGGAGAGAGGGAATATTGTCATTATTTTATCAGATATGATTCTACATCTAAAATTGCTCAAGGTTGCCGCAAGCTCAGTTTCTCACTCAATAGGTCTTGAGTTGAGAGCTTCTGATACCCAACAATTTCCCAGGTGATGTTGCTTATTCAAATCCTAAATCTTGAGAAATACTTCCCTAGAGACTCAATGATACAAAATATGGTATTGTATTTAAATCATTCAGATTAAGATGTATAGGTGAGGAAAGCACAATAGTTTTCTTTGTACTCGCAACAGACAAGAATAAAAGTAACAGAAAGAAAATAATTGTTGTGTAAAAAATAAGAACAAACTCTAGGACAATGAGAAATTGTCCAAAATTTCATTATCCAAAAAGGATAATGAAAGTTTATGCAAAGACATGAAAAGTACAAACAAAATCAATCTTATCAGCGATTAATTGAAAAATCTATTATCTTACATGTAAAAGTTACCAAAATGTAAATATTTTACAAACCAGCAAGCATAATGAATTTATCATGATTTATCATGTATTGTATATATAATCTAATTCATGTATAAGCTTATTCCACACATATACATTCTCTCCAGAACTATGGGATAGATACTATATTTCAAATTTCCTGAATCATATTATACAGGGCTTAACTGAGGTTAGTGTTGAGCACTACACATATTCACCAGTATCTCCCTGTATTCGCTTAGAACATGGAGGACCACCAATCCTCCCTCCGCTTCAAAGTTAAATGTGTCCCGCGGAACTTGCTTTTGTTAATAAGCGAGCTGAGGTGGTAACAGTGCCACTTCCCATTGGGTATATTTAAAACTGTGTGCGTGATTCTCTCTGCTCTCTTTCCCTGCTGCAGTGACTGAACATGCATGTGAATGAGTTTCTAGAATGCCAAGCTACAGTCAGGAGAACAGCTGTCCTAGAGAGCTAAGAGTTTGCTCAGTGGATCCAGTTAGGACTTGTTTGTTACCTCAGCAATGCACCTGTCTTGTTTTGGTAAGACAACATCTAAGTCTTTAGTGGCTTGAAACCTCTAACATTCAAGATGGAAACTGCACGAGGGGCTGTATTTGCGGTAAGGTCCATTCATGTTGCCGTTAGAGCAGTGTTGTATGATATTTTGATCACATTATGAGAATAAGGTTATTAACCATAGATATTTTGGAGGACTGAGTACAGATAGAGGGACAGGAAGTAATAAGGCAGGGCTAAAAAAGAATCTCAGTCTGTTGTCAGAGGTTTCTATCCTGCCTGGTTTCCACAGTCCCAATGAAATCACACAGAGGTGTACATTAACTATAAACTGATTGGCCCATTAGCTCAGGCTTCTTATTAACTCTTATAACTTACATTAGCCCATTATTCTTATCTGTGTTAGCCACATAGCTCAGTACCTTTTTCAGCGGTGTAGTCACATCTTGCTTCTTCTGTGTCTGGACAGGACTGCAGAGGGAGCTTCCCTCTTCCCAGAATTCTCCTGTTCTCATTGACCCACCTCTACTTCCTGTCTTGTTGTCCCACCTATACTTCCTGCCTGGCTACCGGCCAATTGGCATTTATTTAAAACATAATTGACAGAATATAGACAATTGTCCCGCACAATCAGTCCTTTTGGTCGGAGGAACAGAAGAGACAGGGTTTCTGGGTACTTCTCTACTGTGTCTCTGATCACTCGGATTCTTATCCGGGTATCTGACTCCTGACTTTTTATTGGTAGAGAATAATTAGATAACTACATCAAAACAGTGGTGGACTACTGGGTCAGTCAGCTTTGGCAATATTAATGAGATATTTTGGATTTTCATCCTGGGTGGTGGCATATGCACCTGGCAGGTTAAGATCAGTAGTGTTGCTGAGTATCTACAATTCAGAAGGCAGGGACCACAACAAAGAAGCATCTAGTCCTAAATGTTAACAACACAAACATGAAAAAAACTTGGCTTATAAAAACAAAAAAGGCACCAAACTCTGTATCCTTCGAAGAGAGGAAGGCAACATGAAATAGGTGTAAGCTCACCATATCTCACCAGGGATTGCAGGGCTAATAGTTCGTTCTGTTCTGACAACAGAAAACTAACATTGTGTTTTAAAATGCATGCATATAAAGCTGTAGAGATGGCCCAGTGGGTAAGAACCCTTACTGCTCCTGCAGAAGACTCATGTTCAGTTCCCAGCACCCACGCAGAATAACAACTATCTGTAATTCCAGCTTCAGGGCTTCTGACATCCTCTGTAGGTCTCTGTGGCCATTGCACACTTTTGGAATAGGTCTAAGTAGTACTTAATTGTACTTATTTTGTGATTTAGTTAGTTTTAGACCTATTCCAAAAGTGAGCACATCAGAAGCTTAGAGATAGTAAATAACTTGGCCTAAAGTCATATGACTGTTACTAAGTACTAGTACTGACATTTGAACTCGGTCTTATTGGCTATAGGTAGCACCATTTCCACTGTAGCTAAAAACATTAGAGTGCTTTTCAGACATCTAATATGGAGCTCCTATTTTGCTCTAGCTCCTTCTTATATTTACATATATGAATATTTAAGGAATATATATATATATATATATGTATATATATGGTGTCTTGCTTCTGTACCTTGTATGTGCAATGGCCACAGAGACTATTTTCTTCACTTGAATGCTGCAAGGTAGAGAATGGTCACATATTTTTTAATATGAAATCTATGTTGGCTTTTTACCCTTTTGTCCTTTCTTCTGTGTGTTCACTTTTTGCTTTCTTGTGGCAATTCTTGCTGTTGCTCATGTGAACATGAAAACGATCCCCTCACTTCAAATGCAGGT